AAAAAAAAAAAAAAGAAAAGAAAAAAGGACTGAGTTGTGAAAAGGGGGGTTAAATGCTTTAATGACAAGAAAAAAAAACTGCACTAGAACTTACTCATCATTACCATCTTCATCTTCCTCTCCTCAACCTCTTCTCCTCTTTTTCTCGCTTTTTTCAGCCTCAACAATTCCCTTTTTTGCTGCATCAGGCTTTCCTTTAGCTCAATATGCAGCAATATCCTTTCTGTATTTTTCCTTCAGCTTCACAGCCTTTTCATAAGGCTGCTTGTCATCTGCAGGAGTGTTAGTCCACACCCCTCCCAGTTTCTTCGCAGCACCACCGGACAGGCCAGGATGTTCTCCTACGATTTTTGGGCCATATGGAGAACAGAACAAGAAAAAGGCTGAAGGAGGCCTCTTGGGTGCATTGGGATCCTTGAACTTCTTTTTTGTCTCCCCTTTAGGAGGGATATATGTTTTCATTTCTCTTTCATAATGGGCCTTGTCTGCCTTTGCCATAGCTTCAAATTGTCCTTTCTCTTTAGCAGACATGATCTTCCACCTCTCCGAGCACTTCTTAGAAAACTCTGACAAGTGGACTGAAGCATGCGCTGCTTCTTTCTTATGCTCCTCCTGACAAGTTTGCACATAAAATACATATGATGGCATTTTGTCTCTTGGCCTCTTAAGATCTCCTTTGCCCATGTTTGGTTATTGTTCCTCAGCGAGGCACAGAGCCACCTAGTGCCCGCCTGACTCTCACTTGTCGCGGCACTGTCTTTATGGAGCTCAACTCTTTTGAGCTCTGCCTATAATTCATTTTTAAAACCGCAGAGCTCATAAAACAGCAACTCAAAGCAAAACAAAAAGCAAACCCCAAAGTTCAAAATGAATACTCTGCTTTTATTTTTGAAACAGGCATTTAATTTAAAAACACATTTTTAAAAATGAAATTCTAAAGTCATAAAGAATGAGTTAAGTTTTAAAAATTTACTTTAAAACTTGTACCCTGTTAGTACATAGCTCTAGGACCCCTCTCAGGTTCAGACCAGCTTCTCTATTTGTCTTCTTCCTTTGTGGGAGAATCTAGAGATTCGGCATCTTTTCTTCAATTATGTGGCTGTCAACACGCACTATCCCTTCATAGATTGCTGGGAGTTGTGCGTGGGGAACTGTGAGGGAGTGGGAATAGGTGAGACTCAATTGTCAGGTTTGCTGATTTCTGTGGTGTAAATACTTTCTTATTTATGTGCTCCCACTGCGATGTCACTGAACATGGAGTTGCAAAGAGGTGCTCACTATACAATATTTCTACCATACAGATAGAATCGACACAAAAACCTTTAAGGACATAAATCATGGGAAGACATAGTAAAAGAATTAGGGAGTGATAAGTGTGGAGTCTACTGTCTTTAGTTTTAATATAATTTAATTGTAAATTTATGTAATTTGATTTTTTAATTTTTTGACATAGTCTCCCTCTGTCACCCAGGCTGGAGTGCAGGGGCACGATCACAGCTCACAGCAGCCTTGACCTCCTGGACTCAAGCAATCCTCCCACCTCAGCCTCCTGAGTAGCTGGGACTACAGGTGCATACCACCATGCATAGCTAATTTTTTTTTGGAGAAATGGGGTCTCATTATGTTGCTTAGACTGGTCTCAAACTCCTGGGCTCAAGCAATCCTCCTTGACTCAGCCTCCCAAAGCTGGGATTACAGGCATGAGCCACCATACCCAGACTGTAATCTGATTTTTAATGAAGGTTGTGTTTGACAACTGGCTCACAAAATTCCTAAAAATTGCAAGCTGCTAAGAGCTGGCTCTAGTACACTATTGTTTACTGCAAATATGAGGGAACTCAGAGAAGGCTGAACTGTAAATTCCCAAAGGCAGTGTAGTGGCAGAAAAATGTGATACCTTTCCTCATCCATCGTAAGGAACAGCCACCACTCCTATAGCAAAAGACAGATTAACAAGAGAAAACAGCCAGGTGCAGTGGCTCATGCCTATAATGCTCGCATTTTAGGGACCAAGGTGGGAAGAATGCTTGAGTCCAGCAGTTCAAGACCAGCCTGGGCAACATAGCAAGACGCCGTTTCTATAAAATAAACAAAATTAGCTAGGTGTGGTGGTATGCACCTGTAGATCCAGCTACTCAAGAAACAGGAGCCAAGAGGATCGCTTGAGCCCAAGAGGTAGAGGTTGCAGTGAGCCGTGATCATGCCGCTGCACCCCAGCCTGGGTGACAGAGTGAGATTCTGTCTCAAAAAAGAAAACAAAATGAAAAGAAAATTATAACAAGGCTGGGAGGATGCAGTGGCTCACGCCTGTAATCCCAGCACTTTGGGAGGCCAAGGTGGGGAGATCATGAGATCAGGAGTTTGAGACTTGCCTGGCCAACATGGTGAAACCTCATCTCTACTAAAGATACAAAAAATTAGCAGGGCCTGGTAGCACATGCCTGTAATCCCAGCTACTCGGGAGGCTGAGGCAGGAGAATCACTTGAACCTGGGAGGCAGAAGTTGGCAGTAAGCTGAGATTGCACCATTGCACTCCAGGTTGGGCAACAAAGCAAGACTCTGTCTCAAAAAAAGAAAGAAAGAAAGAAAGAAAAGAAAGAAAATTATAACAAATTTCTTCCATCAAAGTTTCACATGACACTACAGCCTTCAGAAATGAAGACCCATTATCCCCCAAAGCAGGGCACCACAGTGATTGCAAAGTGGTGTGATTTGTAGTTGTGGATGCTGCACTTGTATGAGATTCTGAACCTCTGTTTGGCAATGTTTGAATCTTCTTGGTTAATATTGTTTTGGCAAATACAGGCTGTAAAGGTTTAGATGATGGCCGCATTTATGGGCAACACACTTGGCACTGATAACCCTGTTTCCCAAATACTCCCCAGATAAACTTCCTGCAGTAAGAGCAGTAGGTGGGCTGCCTCAGGTATCTGTTTCCATAATCTTGTTTCCATTAAACAAGCATAATTTTGTCTCCATTGATCTGTTTTATTGGTGGGGGAGAGGGGTGGGTTTGGAGATAGGGTCTCTTTCTGTCACCCATGCTGGAGTACAGTGGTGCAATCATATCTCATTGTAGCCTTGAACTCCCCCACCTCAAGAAATCCCCCACCTTAGCCTTCCAAGTAGCTGGAACCACAGGTGTGCACTACCACTCCTGGCTAATTTTTATTTTAGAGACAGGACCTCACCATGTTGCCCAGGCTGGTCTTAAACTCCTGGTCTCAAATGATCCTCTCACCTCAGCCTCCTAAGTACCTGGGATTACAGGCTTGAGCCACCATGTCCTGCCCTACTGGGGTTATTACCACAAATACTTTACCCTCTGGCTGCGGGTTCAGCCAGCCTTGGAAGGTGTCCAGGATGTTGACCATGCCAGCCATGCACAGCAGCTCCCAGTGAAAAAAAAAATAGCTCAGAGCAATCTTTTGAATCTATGCTCCTATGTTGCAATCCTCAAGCTTGCCCCAAATAAATTCTCTAGTTATATTAATTTTGCCTCAGCTTCTTCCTTTTAGTCCACACTGGAATTGTTAACAAGGCAGCCCTACAAATATAGCTAGGAAAGCTCATTATTTTCTTCTTTCTTTCTCTCTCTCTCTCTCTCTCTCTCCCCCCCTTTCTCTCTCTCTCTCTCTCTCTCTCCCTCCCTCTCTCCCTCCCTCCCCCCTTTCTCTCTCTCTCTCTTTCTTTCTCTTTTTTTTTGAGTCTCCCTCTGTCAGCCAGGAGTGCAGTGGCTCAATCTCAGCTCACTGTAACCTCCACTTCCTGGGTTCAAGAGATTGTTGTGCCTCAGCTTCCCAAGTAGCTGGGATTACGGGTGTCAGCTATCACACCTGGCTAAAGTTTTTTTTTGTATTTTTAGTAGAGATGGTGGGTCTTACAACATTGGCCAAGCTGGTCTCAAACTCCTGGCCTCCCAAAGTGCTGGGATTATAGGCGTGAGCCACCGCACCCAGCCTATTCTCTAAACAATAAACAGCTGTGAAAGCTCATTATTTTTTCTAAACAGTGTTTTTCTAGTCTTTTTATCTGTAGGTACTTTGCTTAAAAGAATTCCAGATGGCCTGAGAAGCCCCAGGAGCTTCAGAACCCTTTGTCAATTACCAGAGGAAGATAAGGCTTGTGCAAAATTGGTGCCAACCAGAACCGGCAGCTCCTTGTTACCTTTAGATCATTAAGATATCATCATCGGGCCAGGCGCGGTGGCTCACGCCTGTAATCCCAGCACTTTGGGAGGCCGAGGCGGGTGGATCACAAGGTCAAGAGATCAAGACCATCCTGGTCAACAAGGCGAAACCCC